ATATAGTTTATGATAAAATCATTTTTTTAAAGAAAACTGTGAAACAGTAATAAAATGAACAAAATTACACCTCAAGTCAAGCACAAATTTCAAAGTACTCACTGAAGAATCTAGTTGCATTGGATCAACATCAGCAAGGCTTGTTCCAATTTTCATTCGATCTTTATAAATTCCTCTTATTTCATCTTTCCGAAAATTTAGTGGGAGGCACCTATTTTAAAAACAAAACCAAAAACAGACAATATCAACTTACTCCTCCCCAATTTCCATGGTAGAATATTAATTTTCTTAATAACTAAAAATTGTTCAGGGCTGAAAAGAAAGCTTGGGAAGTAAACTGCTTGCCACACAAGCCTGAGGATAAAAGTTTGGAGATCTTCACAACCTGGAAAAATGGACAGCAGACTCCAATCTTAGCTGAAGAAATACTGGCAAATGATTACTGCTAAGTGAGGAGGAGCTGATCTTCCTAAAGCAAGGGTACTCTACTACATAAGCTGACTAGACTTCAGTAGATGAACTTGCACTAAGGAACATCTGGGGACACTAACTTGACACAATAGGTCTTAACACAAATGACAGAATGTATGAATTGGGGGGGGGCACACTATGGGACGGTGCCAATGGAGACAGGGGTATAAAGATGATTAATTGACATGTTCTGTATGAAAAGCACAAAAATTCAATAAACAAATTAAAAAAAAAAATAGGTGTGTGTAGTTGACCCACCTGTAATCCTAGGGCTAGACAAGGAATCTCCAGAGCAAGCTAGTTAACCAGAATAGCCCCAAGGGTGATCCCTGGTTCAGTGAAAGAACCTGCTTGGAAATATAAAATGGCAGGGCTGGAGAGAGGGCTCAGGGGGTTAAAACACTGGCTATTCTTGCAGAGGATCTGAGTTAGGCTCCCAGTACCCACATTGGGCAGTTTACCACCTGTAACTCTTGCTTGAAGAGGATTTGATGTCTCTGGACTCTGGGGGTACCCATATACACGTACACACGTACACACACACACACACACACACACAAATCTTACAACTACTAAAAAAAAACCTTAAAAATCTGGGGTCTGTAGAGAGTAACTTGTAGACCAGTGTTCCATTCTCATCACCCATATGGTGACCAACAACCATCCGTAACTCCAGTTCTAGGGGATCCAACACATTGTTCTGGACCCTGCACACACATAATACACTTATATATATATATACGCACATAAAACACTCATACACATAAAAATAAACCATAGGGGTTTGGTCCACCTGAAGAGATGGTTCAGCAGTTAAGTGTACACACTGCTCTTCCAGAGAATTTGAGTTTCACTATCAGCCTTCACATTAGGAGATTCATAGCAGTCTGTGACTCTAGCACTGCACTCACATATACAAATCTACATAATTAACATACAATAATTTAAAAATATTTAAAAATCTGTAACAAGCCAGGTATGGTGGCACACACCTTAAATCCCAGATTTTACCGTTGACTTCTTACAGATTTTTATTTATTTTTTGGGTTTTTTTGAGACAGGGTCTCCCTGTACCCCTAGCTGGCATGGAACTCACTATGTAGACCAGGCTGGCCTTGAACTCACAGAGATCTGCCTGCCTTTGCCTCCTGAGTACTGGGACGAAAGGCATGTGCCACCACACCGGCGGAACCTGTTTATTTTATAGATTGAAAAATGAAATTTGCTTTTATTACAGGAAGATATTTACTCCAGAATGTCTAAGCAAAGAATAGCTTCTATACTGAACATAAGGGTGCACCATACTCACTCCAAGTGCCAATTCTTTGCTAGCTTTGAAATCCAATAAAACTTTTCACTTTTATAAGATTAAAAAAATAATTAATTATGTGTATTTGGGTGTACACATGAGTACAGATGCCTTCAGAAGCCAGAGGAGAGTGTCAGATTCCCTGGAACTGGAGTTGCAGATAGTTTTGAGTTACCATGTGGGTGCTGGGAATTGAATTTGAGTCTTCTGCAAGAGCAGCAAGTGTTCTTAAAAACCTAGACATCTCTCCAGCCCTATTTTCATTTTTAATTGATGCTCAATAATTATAAGTTTATGACATGCAGTTAACGTTTTGATACATGTATACAATGTATAATGATCAAATCAGAATATTCAGTAAGTTTATTACCTTATACATTTACCATTTATTTGTGGTGAGAACACACAAAATCTTCTTTCAGCTATTTTTAAATACTCAATTCAGTATCATTAACCATAATCACCCTACTGTACAAGAGAACAGTGCTACAGGAAATTCTGTGACATCTGAGATGGTCAGTTTTCAACTGTTAGCTTCTTAAAGAGTTATGTCTAAATTACTCTTTAAAAATACATATACGATATACAGGACTTAGCTGGGCGTGGTGGCCCATGCCTTTAATCCCAGCACTTGGAAGGCAGAGGCAGGCGCATCTCTTTTGAGTGAGTTTGAGGCCAGCCGTCTACATAGCAAGTTCCAAGTCAACTGGGGCTACAGGGAGACCCTGTCTCAAAAGACCAAAACACACACACAAACACACACACACACACACACACACACACACACACAGAGCAGACTTGAATTACATTTCCATGAATAAAGACAAAGAACAACTCAAGCAGTCCAAGTACAGCTTTGGATAATCTAACACCTTGCTATCTAATAGACATAACATATACAATTATAATTTTGAATTTTCTATTAACCACATGAAACAAAAAAGAAAAAAAGTAAAAGTAATTTTGGTATTTTATTCCCCCTAATATACCCAAATATTATCAATTTAACATACTATCAATTATTTACCCTTTTCTTATTACTTATTTTTAGTGTATAGTGTATTGCCTGCATGTATGTAAATGTACCCATGCAATGCCCTCAGAGGTAAAAAGAGGGCACATGGCCAGGTATGGCTGTGCAACTGCCTTTAAGCCCAGCACTTGGGAAACAGAGGCTGGTGGATCTCTGTGAGTTCAAGGCCAGCATGGTCTTATAGTGAGATCCTGTCTCAACAAGACTTCCCCTGCCCCCCAAAAGAAGAGGGTATCTGATTTCCCTAGAACTGGAGTTACAGACCATTGTTAGCCACCATGTGGGTGCTGGGACTAGAACCCAGGTCCTCTGCGAGAGCAGCCAATACTCTTAACCACTGAGCAATCTCTCCAATTCCTCTTTTTTTTTGAATGTAGGGAAAGTACTGTGCAGGCTGACCTCTAATTCACAATCCTTCTGGCAGGGCATAGTGGTAGGTGCCTGTAATCTTACCACTTAGGTTGTTAAGGGAGGAAGATTAGGAGTTCAAGGTCATCCTAAATTACACATTCATTAAATTCTAGGCCAGCTTGGGTGGTATAAGATCCTGTCTCAAAAGCAACCAGTCAGGCCAACTACTGTTTCAGTTTCCTCAACGCTGGGACTAACTAAGCACATCCCACCATGCCCAGACTATAACCAACAATTTTCAAAACAAATGTTTTACATTCTCTTTATTGTATCAAGTCACTGGTACCTAAGAATCTGTTTTATACAAAGACTTATATTATCTCCATTCTGACAAATTATACTGAAGTGCTCAACAGCCACACCTGGTTAGTGTGTACTATAATGGAACGGGCAGATTTAACATGTTGAGAGTTGTGCTTAGGTTATGAAAGTCCTTTGCAAGCAATTCAATTATTGTTCTGAGCATTATTTTCTGCCCTAAAAATATTTTACTATTAGAATCTAAGCACTGCATTAAAACTTGAAGAACCTACAACTGAAAATGTCAACAATCCTTGAATTTGTTATTAGCATATGAGGACAAGGAGTTGTAAAATGAGTTAATTGTTCAATTTACCTAAGAACAGCACAGTAAGGATGTAAGGAAAAAATAAATTTAAAATGAAAAATAAGTTATTTCCTCAAGTCAATGTTCATCAAGGATCATTAAAAGCTATTCTAATGGTTTGGCAAGAAATCATAACACTATGTTCTAAGTTATTACTTGCCTCAAATATAGATATTTCTAATAAGAGGGCATTTTGCTTTCTATCAACCTGTGGTTCAACTTTATAAGTTGTACTTAGCACCAAATTATTTTATTTTCTCAACCACTCTTAAAATTTTGAGGAACCAGCACAGTGGCCTACACTTTAATTCCAGCACTTGGGAGCCAGAGGCAGATGGATCTCTGTGAACTTAAGGTCAGCCTGGTCTACATAGTGAGTTCCAGGTCAGCTGGGGCTACAGGGAGACCCTGTCTCAAAAAGCAAAAAAATATAAGGGGAGAGAAATGATTCAGGCAGAAAAGGCACTTGCCACTAACCCTGACAATTTAATCCCTGAACTTACACAATGTGAAGGAAAAAACCAACTCCTACAAAGCTGTCCTTGGACCTAAACAGGCACATCATGGCATGCATGTGTGCATGAGTTCCCAAATTCACAGTGTTTTTTCAATAAAATTAAAACTGGGTGTGTATCTTTGATCCCACTACTTAGGAGGAGGTACAGGCAGGCTGTGAGATCAAGGCCAGCCTGATCTACATAGTGAGTTCCAGGCTGGCTGGGGCTACAGGGAGACCCTGCCTCAAACAAATAAAAAAGATTAAATGTTATTTGTTTAAAAAGTCATCAGTATGGTAGTCATCCATTTTCTTTTTGTTGCAGTTATTTTCTTGAGACAGGATCACTAAATAGCCCAGGCTGGCCTGGAACTCTTAACCTCAGCCTCCCTAAGTGCTTGAATTAAAGGTGTGAAGCACCAGACCAGGCTGGGTACTCACCTATTAATAGCTCTATTTCGGTTCCTTTTTCTTCTCCTCTCAAAGTGTTCATCTTCAGAAGAGGAAGATGAAGTAGAGTCACTGCTGTGGATTGCATGCCTTCGCCTAAAGTAAAGAGGGAGATTGAAATCATGAAGAGTGGGACAGGATAAAAGGAAAGGAGAACATAAGCATCAGAAATATTTAATAATCTAAAATATTATAAACCACTGAAGTAAGCTTTGTTGGCAGAATCTTTGAGGTAATAAAAGACACAACAGAGAGGAAGGGAAAAGAACCAAGAGGCTGTGGTAGAGCTGACCATCAAATGCTCATTAAATAAAAGATGGTACAGGCAGTGACTTAGTCTTGACATAAATTTTTTAAAAAATAAGTGAGATAAGGAAAGCACCAGACTTTTTAGAAAACTGCAATTTGAGCTAGTATTTTCAATATCATGTTATATATGAGTTTACACTAGAAAGGAAATCACCTAATCACCTATTTTTAAAATGGCAAATAATTTTCCAAAAAGTATTATTTTCATTTTATATGTATGCATGCATTACCTGCACGTATGTGTGTTGCGCAATGCCAAACAGAGGTCAGAAGTGGGCAATGGATCTCAGGAACTAGAGTTATAAACAGCTAGCCGCTATGGGGTTGCTCGGAACTGAACTCAGGTATTCTTGTAAGAGCAGCTGGCACTCTTAACCACTGAGCCACCTCTCCAGCCCCAAAATGTCAAATAATTTTGTAGAAAAAAAGGTTACCAAAGACTTAAGGTTTGGTGAAATGGCTCACTCAGCAGGTACCAGTGTCTGCCACCAAACCTGACTACCAGAGTTCAATCCCTAGGAACCACATGGTTGAAGCTGTTCACTGGCTTCCGTGTATGCAGAGTTATGTGAGTGCACATATGAATGTGCATGTACACACAAACACACAAATAAGCAAATGTAATTTACAAGAATTTTTAAATGCTGTGAGGTCTTGGGTTTGATCCCTAGCACAGTCAAATGAAATAAAATAGCTGGAAAAACAGCAATAAGTAGAACAACAGAATGCTGTTGTTCTACTATATCATTTAATTGTTAAATATAGTATGAAACCCTTGAGTTTTCTTAAAAAATGGTAAAGATGCCATTAAATTCTTAAAGACTAGTTGGTAATAAAATAATGCGCCAAGTACTACATATACATAGAAAAATGTACTTGGACAGCTTTAAAGACTGACGGAGAGAAAGAACAATAAAGAATCTGGAGAAAACCCTTTAATTGTTCTGCTGGCTTAGGAGCTACAACTTTCTCTGAGTTAGAATATAGTCAACAGTAAATAGGTATTTAGAACAACACAAAAGGTTCATAATCTTTTATCTAATTCAGTTCTAAAATCTATCTTAGAACAGTTGGAAATCAGGGATGGAGAGATGGCTCAGAGGTTAAGAACACTGGCTGTTTTTGCAGAAGACCTGGGTTCGAATCCCAGCACCCACATGGCAGCTAACAACTGTCTGTACCTCCAGCTCCAGGGGACCCGACAGCCACTTTTGTCTTCCTCAGGCATTGCACAACACAGGTGAACTTACATACATGCATACACATAAAATTTTTAAAAAGTATATTTAAAAAAAAATGTTAAAAGTCAGACAGGTGTGGTGGTACATCCTTTAATCTCAGCTCTTGGGAGGCAGAGGCAGGTGGATCTCTGTGAGATGATGGAAGCCCAGCCTGGTTGATATAGGTTGAGTTCTAGGCAAACTTTGCAAAAAAAACGAAAACAAAAAATAAAAACAAAACACAACAACCTTGCAAAAAGCAACTTATGGTCTTTATCCCATTGTGATGGTTCATATATTTTACAACAGAATATTAACATATTTGACTATGGCTCAGTCAGCTCTAGAGATGACAATGTTGCTTTTACATATGTTGCATGTTGACCTTTGTAAACCCATCCAAAAACCCTGAAATTTCAAACACAAATAGTTCCAAGAGTTTTGAGTCAGATAAAAAAAATGAGAAAATAATCCTCTACCTACATACCCAAGACCATCTTTGTAATCACCCTACAACCAAAATTATCTAGTATTAAGTCTGAATATTTAGTATTACCATTAACACTCTAAAGCATTTGCACTGTATTTTATGTATAGGGCACTCACAGAATTGAGATAAATTCCACAATTAATAAAAAAAAGTAGTATTTACTCTTTCCTATACTTGCTTGACATACTATTTATTTCCCACCATCCACTGCCCTAACTAATGGTGGTTGAACCTGGGGCCTTATACATACTAGGTAAATGCTCTGCTATTAAGCCATACTCCTAAGCGCACTGTATTTTATGTATAGGGCACTCACAGAATTAAGATAAATTCCACAATTAATAAAAAAAAGTAGTATTTACTCTTTCCTATACTTGCTTGACATACTATTTATTTCCCACCATCCACTGCCCTAACTAATGGTGGTTGAACCTGGGGCCTTATACATACTAGGTAAATGCTCTGCTATTAAGCCATACTCCTAAGCCCTCTCATTGAATTTTAACTGAAATTCTGGACAACATACTTTATTAGTAGGCTCATTTTACTGTCAGGGCCAGTGAGATTCAAGGGTTAAAGAATTGCTCAAAGTAGCACAATTAGTCAGTGATGGTGACAGAATTCAAACCCATGTCTGCTTATTCTAAAAATTAACACTGGATACACTACTGTACTGGTAGTTTCTAGTTTACTTCACAAACCAGTAAAAAGTTATAAGCAAACAAAATCTCACGGACTAACATAAGGTATGTTTTAAGAGTCCCCACCCACAAAAGAACGATCCATCCCCATCTATGGATTAGTCCATCTAGGAGTCCATAAATGAATAAGACATTAGAAGATGGAACCTACACAGAGGAAACAAGTCATTGCAGGTGCACCTTTGAAGGATATCTTCTCTTTTTTGGAGGAAGGATGGCTTCTAGTTTTTTTAATGTGTAAGACCAGGTCTTGTTAAGTTGCCCAGGCTGGCCCTGAAATTGCCTGCAGCTCAGGCAAGCCTTAAACTATCACTCCTCCTGCCGGGATTAGAGAAGTTAACCACAAGGCTCAGCTTTTAACTACTCTAAACAGCTTATGAGTATACTAACAATGCAGGCTCCTTTCAAGTATAATTGATCTTCGAAGCTCTGACAAGTAGAACTTGCCTTCCTGATCCTCCATCGTCATGGGTTTGGTGAAAAGGGATGATGGAAGAAGAACTCAGATTGTACACCTGTGATTCTGACAAAATTATAAGACCCAGGGACACAGGTATATTTATTTTTTCTTAAAAAAAATAAATAAATAAAAAAGAAAAAGAATCTTCAATACTTACAAAGCTGCTGCCTTCCATGACCAATACATGATCAGATAGTTTGCAGATTCTTTGAGATTTCTTAGAAGATTTTGAATAGCTGAAATCTATTATTTCAGTCTTCTGAGCAAATTAATATTTTAAAAAGTAGCATTTCTCATGCTAATGTCACTTTTTTCCCTGACTTTTTTATCTTATTTATAAGCCACTATAATTCTACTAAAACCTTGATTATTCTAATGCATCAGAAAACCTTACACTACTCAGGGCAGGGAAATAATTAAGTTACCCCTTTAAACTTAAATCTGATAAACAACTGCTGAGATGTAAAAAGAAATCCTTTGGGTTAAAAAAAAACAAAAAAACAAAAACTAAACCATAAATTATAAGATAGTTAACATGGTGGGAGGATATACTTGAGGCAGTGTGTAAAGAAAAGGCTACAGTTGAAATGTGAAATTAAATGAAATAATCTGTGTAAAATAATAGAGGCTAGAATACAATACAGTCAAGTATAACAGCTCTACTATTCAAGCATGGAACAACGGAACTAACTATGTTACCAAAGTAGTTACTAATACTTCCTATTAATGAAAGCGAAAGCAAAAGTAGTCATTGGTACTGGGGATTAGAGCACTAAAGGCAGAGCAAAGCTCTCTAATATGAAATTCTACAATTCTATCCTAATATAGTCAATCTAAAGATTCTAGAATCCTGCCAACAAGATAGCCACAATTATGTTATCATAAACTGATTACTATATCAGAACCAAACCTGTTCATTCGTTTACAGTAAGGACTTCTTGGTCCTGTAGAAGATAACCGGTATCTTGGTCTTGCAGGAGAAGCTGGGCCACTATAAAATATGTTGGGCTTTCTCTGATGACGAGGCTCTAGAAAAATACAAGCATATACAGCATGTAAAATATATAAAGTAATTTTGTTCTTTAAATACTTACAAAAGTGCTGCCTTCCATGAAAGTATTAATACCTACAGAATGTTTTGCTGCTCATGTAATTTCATTTATTTCTATAGAGTAGATAATAAAAATATATAGGTAGTAGTCAGATTGGCTCAGTAGTTAAGAGCATTTGCTCTTTCATAGGGACTGAGTTCGGTTTCCAGCACTCACATCAGAGAGCTCAAAACCACTTGTAACTCTAGTTCTAGATCTGACACCCTTTACTGGTCTCCATGGACACCTGTACCCATGTGGTTCACATAAACTCAATAGGCACATACACACATAGAAACAAATTTAAATAAATAGAAAGTATGTATAGAACAACCAACTAAAATGCTAAGCAGTCACATACAACCCTTCTGATTATACATACATAACTGGTAATTATCTCCCCTGAGTATAAATGCTCAAGTGTATTGAGGTACAATGCTACCATAAATCAAAAGTATTCTATCTTTACAAACAAAAGTAATCTTTAACATTAAAAATAGGAAATTTCAAAGTAGTTCAATTATTTGATTCCCTCAAGTCAATATTTAACTCTTTTCAAGAAATGACAATGGAATAAATGACCCTCTCATACCTATCCAATTTAGGACAGATTAAGACAGTAGTATCAGAGCTGAGCATAGTGGTTCACACTTGTAATCCTATCACTAAAGCGGACTGAAGCAGAAGGATCACCCAAAGTTGAGGTCAGACTGAGCTACTCAGCAAGAGTAGCTGTCTCAAAACAAAACAGTCAACATTATGAACATTTAGAAAAATGAAACAAAACTTTTTATAAAGAGGAAAAGGCACTTGCTATCAAACCTGATGACCTAATAAGCTTGATACCCAAGACCCACACAGTGAAAGGATCAAACGGATTCCTGCAAATTGTCTTCTGACTTCCACATGCATGCCACAGCATGACTTCCACATGCATGCCACGGCATGAGGGTACATACAATAAATAAATTTAACATTAAAAAAAGGTTAAAAGTGGGGAGAGGGCTAGACACACTGCTCTTGCAGAATACCAGAGTTTGGTTTCCAGCACCACCTCAGGTGACTCATAACCACCTGTAACTCTAGTTCCAGAGGATTCAATGCCTCTGGCCTCTGCAAGCACCTGCAATCAGGTGTACACACACACACACACACCCATTAAAAGGAAGAAAAAAAATGAGAGGGAAGAAGCGGGGAGGGGACAGTAAAGATAAAGGTAATAGAAATATATCTTTCTCTTGAAAACAGAATGCAATGTGCAAGTGCTTACTTTCCAATGGTGCCTGGTAGTAAACAGTTGCTTTTCTCTGCCTAAGATAATATCGTTTTTGATTATCTTCTTCTCCATCTTCTTCATCTTCATCATCACCTTCATCGTCGTCGTCGTCATCATCATCTTCCTCCCCCTCCTCCTCCCCCCCCCCCCCCCCCCCCCCCCCCCCCCTCCTCCTCATCTTCCTGTTCTTCACCCTCTTCAGATGATCCTACAATTAAGAAATACAACCAGCACATTGGTGAAATAGCTCAGGATGCAAAGACATCTGACTCCAAGGCTGACATACAAGTTCCATCCCTGGAACTCACATAGAAGATGGAGAGAACCAATTTCTGAAAATTGTCCTTTGATCTCCACACCCACACAAAACAATGTAAGAAAAATTTTAAAAGAATCAATATACGGGCTGGAGAGATGGCTCAGGGGTTAAAAACACTGGTTGTTCTTGCAGAAGACCCTGGTTCGAATTCCAGCACCCAGCTAACAACTGTCCTAACTCCAGTTCCAGGGGATCTGACAGCTTCTTCTGTCCTCCACGGGCACTGTATGACACGGGTGCACTTACCCTACATGCAGGCAATACACACATATATATAAAGTAAAAATAATAAGTAAGGGGCTGGAGAGATGGCTCAGCAGTTAAGAACACTGATTGTTCTTGCAGAAGACCTGGGTTGGAATCCCAGCGCCCACACGGCAGCTAACAACTGTCTATAACTCCAGTTCCAGGGGATCTGACAGCCTCTTCTGTCCTCTTTGGGCACTGCATGACATGGGTGCACCTACATACATGCAGGCCATACATGCAAAACGAAAAAAATAAAAAAAAAAAAAAAGAATCTGACTAAAGAATACCTTGCCAGGCGTGGTGATGCACACCTTTAATCCCAGCACTCGGGAGGCAGAGGCAGGCAGATCTCTTGTGAGTTCAAGGCCAGCCTGGTCTACATAGTGAGTTCCAGGACAGCTGGGGCTACAGGGAGACCCTGTCTCAAAAAGACCCAAAAAAGGGGGACGGGGTGGGACCAATGGGGGTGGGCGGGAAAAAAAAAATACCTTAAAAAAAAAAGAATCAATATACTCACCAAAATGTTAATTTTTGAGACAGGGTCTCCTTATAGTTCCAGCTGGCCATGGAACATGCTATATAGTCCAGGCTGGTCACAAAGATCCACTTGCCTGTCTCCCCAGTGCTGGGATTAAAGGTGTGTGCCACAATGCCTAGCAATGTTAAAAATTTTTAACAGAGGGTTCAGAAAGAAAAGAAACCCTTTAAAATGTACCTACTTTAGATTATTCATAGAATTTGTAATCCTTTTACAAAAAGATTGTTTAATGAAGTAAAAATTATACAATTGAAAATTAGAAAAAAAAGCATAAAAAATTGAAAGAATTATTAGTAATAATATTAACGTTTAACAATGTTCCTAGGAATCTTGTTAATATAGGCAACCATACTTAAAACTTTCAGGTTAACACAGGATACTGACAAGTTTTAAAATATCCTTAACAAAATTCTGCCTTTTATTTTTTTAAAATGTTTAATGTGTATGAAAGTGTTGCCTGCATGTATGCAAGTGCACCCGTGTATGTAATGCCCACAGAGGTCAGAAAAGGGCATCCAATTCCCCTGGAACTGGAGTTACAGACGGTTGCTTGCCACCACGTAGGTGCTAGGAATGGAACTGGAGTCCTCTGCAGGAGCAGCCAGTGCTATTAACTGCTGAGTCAAGATGAAGTGGTAAAAGAAAGGAGCCAGGGGCACCTCCCATGCCCATGTGACCCCCTGAGAAACAGATCCTCAAACGACCTTAAGAGAAAAAAATAAATTGGCTTATTTGGGCCAACTGTGTGGTTTTAAACACCCAAAAGGAAAGTATAACCAAAGAGTGAAGTGATCAGTGTATTTAAGAATTCAAGGGATTACACTTCCAGACATTAGGCTTAAGTCCATATAAAATGTTGTTTAGACAATTCTCATTGATGAATTTGTTTCTAATCAGAAAGGGCTGCTCAGACGTAAGACTTCAAATCTTGGTCTGCAATAATGTAGTGTCCACCTATAGCTAAGGGAGACAACCCTTAGCTACATTGTTGTCAAATGATGGCTAAATTTGTTTTCTCCCCCTCCAACAGCTATCAAAATACCTGAAAACAAATCCTGGGTCCATCACTCTTGAGCACAGCCTTTTAGATAGACCCATTGAAGGGGTACTCCAATTGCCTCACCCTGTGACCCTCTTCAGCATGGAAGAAGCCAGAGCAGTCTGCATCCCAATTCCCTATCGGCAATTTGGGTAACCACTTCAGAGGATGGTATGATAAGAACAGGAGGTAAGAATTGGCTAGGCAGTTAGGTAAAATGACCCCAAAGAAAAGTAGCCAGTTTCTTGGCTAAAAGTTAAAATGTCCTTGGGTCTGTTAGCAACATACGCTGTTCCAAAGGCCAAAAATGGAAAAAGCATTTGGGAGCGCTTATCTAATCCTGAAAAGATTTTAGGGTTACTTCTTCAGAGGGGGGGAATGATAGAGAATCAAAAAGCCCCATAAAAAGAAAGAAAGAGTACAAGAAGTCGTCAGGAAAAAGTGATGGGAGGAGTTGGAGGGGAGGGAGTGGGACATGGATTTGATCAAAACACCTTATATGCGTGTATGAAATTCTCAATAAAATTTTTTTTAAGTTAAAATAAAACAAAAAAAACAAACTGCTGAGTCACCTCTCTAGCCCCAATTTTGTCTTTTTGAAGCAGGGTCTCCCTGTAGCCCCAGCTGTCCTGGAACTCACTATGTAGACCAGGCTGGCCTTGAACTCACAGAGCTCTGCCTGCCTCTGCCTCCCAAGTGCTGGGACTACAGGCGTGTGCCATCACGCCTGGCTCCAATTTTGTCTTTTTAAATTCTACTTAGTCCTTCCGGCTATGGGAGTTATGGCTCTAACTCAAATATAGCCATAATAATGGTACGGCACTTTCTCCGATCATTTTAAATATATTTCAGAAAACTGGTTTATATACACAAAAAAGTAGATTATGATATTCAGTCTCAAAGGGAAAAGCTAAATTTACTTTAAGCACTTTTAAACTAAAATACAGAGATACATGATGTACTGTTTATAATTGTATTATTTAAGCACACCAATCATTATTATTGCTAGATTTTTTTTTTTTTTTTTTTTTTTTTTTTTTTTTTTTTTGTCTTTTTGAGACAGGATCTCCCTGTAACTGTAGTTAGCCAAGAACTCAATATGTAGACCAGGCTGGCCTTGAATGCAGAGATTTGCTTGCCTCTGCCTTCTCTTTTTTTGGCTTTTGAGACAGGGTTTCACTGTGTAGCACTGGCTGGCATAGAACTTGCTATACAGACTAGGCTAGCCTGGAACTCACAAGAACTTTGCCTGTCTCTGTTTCCCGCGCGCTGGAATTAAAGGCATGGGACACTAAGCCCAGCCCATTTTAGAATTCTTGAATTTACTTTTTTTCTTCAACGAAACACACTGTTCTTTTTAAGCCCTCCCTTGTATCCATCTTTTCTTTTCTTTTTTTTTGGGGGGGGGCAGGGTCTTCACTGTAGCCACAGATGGCCTGGAACTCGTTATGTAGACTAGGCTGGCTTCCATCTTACAGAGACCCACCTTGCCTAGTCTACCTCCCAAGTGCTGGGATTAAAGGTATGGACCACCATGCCTGGCTGTCTCCATCTTTCAAATTATAACCATCACAAACTATAATAAATATCAGTTTCTGAACAAGAAAGCTATTTCTAGGACTGGAGAGACGGCGCAGTGGTTAAGAGCACTTGGTGTTCTTCAGAGGAGAAATCCAGCAGTCACATGGCAGCTCACAAGCGCCTGAAAGCACATGGTGCACACGTGTACTCAGTCACACACATATAAACTAAATAAATCTTACCAAAAGAGGCTATTTCCTACTAAATAATGTTTAAATACAAAGCCAGAAAACAGAAAAGGAAACACTAACCCACACTCCCGTCTTGGTTATCAGTTGTTTCTTCATCAGCTTGCTGAATAGCCTTTTGTTTTCCTCTGGTGTACATACTAAGATTGCTCTAGAAATGTGTACATAAAAGTCATTAACATTTAGGATATATTCATAAAAAATTAATTCCCTCTAATTTTTCTTAAAATCAGGGCATAGCTATTAACTTATACAATTCTAGTAGTAATTAATGACTAATCAAAGAAGTGCTGGACAAAGAGATAAATAATAATTCTCCATAAATGGATTACACAATATAGAAAAAAGATTACATGAGATTAAAATGCCACCTAATGAAAGAATATTTACTTTTTCCGTTTCTTCAAATACGCCCAAATCAAGTTTCCTCATTCGCTGTCTATGCATTTTTTTCATATCATCCATTTTTTGAAGTACAGCCTCAGCAGTGCTTTAAAAATATTAACAAAAATATTTCAGTGAGCATTAACTTACTTGGGTAGGATATTCAAAAATTTCTAAGAATTTAAACATATATACAGAATTAATACAAAGCCACTAGTAACCATTCTCTTGTATGTTTCACACAGACCAAACATTAAAATATTCAGGATGAGAGTCAGGAACTTAGCTCAGTGGTAGTCAGTCCACTTGCTTAGCAAACACAAGGCAGATATCTGATCCTCCAAAATGGGGGAAAGGGGGCAAGGTTTGGTGGTACATGCTTTTAATCCCAGCAGATCTCTGTTAAGTTTAAGGTCAGCCAGGGATACATAGTAAGGGGGTGGGGACCACAGGGACAACAAAGGATAGTCAAATTAATGATCCTACAATAAAGTTTGTTCTAGATAAAGTTTTGACTTAAGACATTTTTTTACTTACTTTGTTATAAGCTTGTCAAATAGCATAGACTGGTTCACAGCACTGTAACGACTTCTAATTCTACAACTTCTGCGAACTTCAACACCTCTATTCTGTTCATGTAAGTGTTCTGTATTTTGAACAATGTTTCTAGTCCTCAATGACTGAGCAACTGGAATTGAATCAGATGTGTACAGAAAAGTAATTTCAAATAAGAATATTTACAAAATAATTTTAAGTGCTTTTAAGTGCACAGCTGAACAGTTAAACTTTCATGTAGCAAAATTAAAACAACTGAAATGAAGAGTCTCAACATATACCTATAATATGATCCACCCCACTTCAGAGAAGAGATGTTATACAAAGACCAGAATGTTTAAAGCAGTTAGTAAGAGCCCCAAACTGAAAACTCAAATCTTAAAAGACAAAGAGCTAAAAAGTCAGGTATGGCAGACCATGCCTATCTCTGCACCCAAGAAGCCCAGGCAGATCCTGAGCAGAAAATAAACTCTGGTATATTCATCTAATGGAATACTGCCCAGCAACAAAATTAGCAACATGGAGAATACTCAAAGTAATTATGTTGAGTGAAAGAAATTATATAAGAACAACTACATGCTTTGTGATTTCACTTACATAAACCTCTACATACTGCAAAATAATCTACAGCAACAGAAAACAGATCGGTAATTACTTTAGAACCTGAGGGCAGGGCAGAGCCAAAATGGAGTAAGTGATTTTCACTATCTTATTGTGGTTATGTGGTTTCATTTGCACACTTACGTCAAACCTAACAAAGTATACATTTTAAACATGTACAGGTTACTGTATGTGCCTCAACGAACCTGAAAACATTATTAATGACATCTTTAAAAAATCTGAAGGGGCTGGACAAGTGGCTCAGCAGTTACATGCACCGGCTGTTCCTAGGACCTAGGTTTGATTCATAGTACCCACATGGCAGCTAACAATGGTCTGTAACTCCAATTCCAGGTATACCCTCTCCTCAACTCCACGGAAGCACTTACAACACATGCATGCAATACATTCATACACATAAAATAATAAACTTCAAAAATGTGAAAAGCTGTTGGTATAACTTACCTTCTTTGCACTCTTCTTTTTTTTTATCAGCCTGCTGTCTAGCCAACTGCCTATATGAAAAATTAAATTAATGAAAACCAAAAATAATTGACATACCTTTAAATACTATATTCTATAATACTACAAACTAAGATGGTAAATCGGTCAAGAAAGTAAGGTATTCAGATACTTAAAAACCTAAAATGCACTGAAAATATCTACATTATCTATATCCTATGGCAGAACAAATTCTGTTTTCAATTCAAAGACATACTGATTAGTTTCTGTTTTCTTTTGAGACAGGGTCTGACCAAGCTAGCCTTGAACTCATGTCAATACACCTGCCTCAGCCTTCTGAATAATGGGATTATAAGCATGAGCCACCCTCAAATGACTCAGCCTAACAGAATTAATCATGTTAAAGTATCTCACTTGAAACAAGAAGTGATTTCACTCAGATCCTTGGTCTAAGTATTTAAGTACAGTTGAAGGAAGCAGGAACATGTTTTACATCGGAAGGATATAGCAATCTCATAAACTTGAGGAATTTAGAACGATAAAGAGAACTAATGGCCCCATGTGATGTTAATTGCTTTCTGTGAACAGCTGTTGGTGACAATCTTTACACAACATCTATCATCGTTCACATGTAGAAATAGTCCCATTTGTGAATCAGATACCCTAACTAAAAATTGGCAGACAGAAGAAGCCAGATGTGATAGCTTGCACCTGTAATTCCGGCACTGGGAAACTGGGACAGTAGGACTGTATTGATTTCAAGGCCAGCCTTGGTTATATAGTGAATTCTAGGCTAGGCTGAGCTAGAGTGAGACCTTATCTCAAAAAAACCAACCAAACAAACAACCCCCCCCCCAAAAAAAACTGGCATAGAAAACCTACTTAATTAGAAAATCTTCCAAGCTTAAAAACAGCACTCCATCTCATCTTTAAAAAAATAAAAATAAAACCCTACATACCTTATTATCTTACTTTTAATGACTCTATTCTCCATAATCTCAAATATTCTTTTTAAAAAATATTTTATTAGCCGGGTGTGGTAGTGCACGCCTTTAATCCCAGCACTTGGGAGGCAGAGGCAGGTGGATCTTTGTGAGTTCGAGCCCAGCCTGATCTACATAGTGAATTCCAGGACAGCTGGGGCTATAGGGAGACCCTGTCTCAAAATGACAAAAAAAGAAATTTTTTTTTTATTATTTAGCCAGGTGTGGTGGCGCACACCTTAAATCCCAGTGCCTGGGAGGCAGAAGCAGGCAGATCTCTGTGAGTTCAAGGCCAGTCTGGTCTACATAGCAAGTTCCAGGCCAGCTGGGGCTACAGGCAGACCATCTCAAAAAGACCCGCCCCCGCCAAAATTTTCATTTATGTGTATGAGTGTATTGCCTATATGTATGTTGTCAGCGCACCCGTGTCATGCAATGCCCTCAGAGGCCAGAAGAGTGTTGGATTCCCCTGGAACTGAAGTTATGAACAGTAGTTAGCTGCCACGTAGGTATGCACGGAACCAAACCTGGGTCCTCTGTAAGAGTAGTCAGTGCTCTTAACTGCTGAGCCATTTCTCCAGCCCCTCAAATATTTTACGAGTGAAATTGAGGCTACGAATACAGTTCAGTAGTAAAGAGCTTTCCTAGCATGCTTGAAGTCCTGGGTTTTATCTTCAACACACATACACAAAGGAAATATCACATAAACTAAAAGGAAATGAAACTATCCAGAAGAATTAATTCATAATAGTGTGACTCACCATTAATACCTTCCCTTTCTTGGAACGTAGAAAAGAACCAAAATCAAAATCAAAATTTTTGAGCAGGGTAGGCAAGACTGCTCAGGAAGTTTAAAGGCACCTTGCCACCACATGAGTTTGATTCCCAGAACCCAGAGTTGAAGGAAGAGAACTGACTCCCATATGTTATCCTCTGATTTACATACAGGTAACACATACACAAAATCAATCACATCAACGAATCAATGCAAAAAATAAAAACATTCTCCAAACCCAACTTCTGGCAGGGCATGGTGACTCACACCTTTAATCCTAGCAGAGGCAGGCAGATCTCTGTGAATTCCAAGCCAGGGATATATAGAGACCCTGACAAAATAAAAAGCAAAAACAAACCCAACAAACTTTTGAGCAATCTATTAAACAGTTTATAGACCTATAAACTTTTCTCCTCAAGAAGTCCCTTGCTCCCTCTACACCATGCATAACACTGCAAACAAAACAAAGCAGTATATTTTTTATTTTTGCTGCACCAACCAGATGTACTTTTCTCTTTACAGAGGTTAGTAAACTTTTTGTTAAGTTGCTAGATAGCCAATATTTTAGGCTTATGAGTCATTTAGTGCCTGTCACTATTTGATACTACATTTCAAATAGTATTTAAGTGGTGATACATAATATGAATGAGTCTGTTTTGCGCCAATGAAATTTATAAAATCAGTGGCTGTACTTTGTCAACCCTTGTGAATCTGGGTAAAGCCATGAATCTTTTCTCCCTAGAAAACTGCATATACATGTTTAAACATTACTTCACAAGCTTCATGTATTCCCTGAATCTCCTTTATGATCTTTGGTCCCAACTACTAAACTCCCTCTGCTCAAAGAATAAACATGAAGACTTCAAGTTTCAGAAATATTAGGCCTTGAGCTGGGCTGGATGCTACACACCTGTAATACCAGCAGGTGGAAGGTGAAGGCAAGAGGATCAGAAGGTGAAGGCCAGCCTCGACTACCTGAAACCATCTCAAAAAACAAGAGGGTTTGGGAAAGGGAAGGAGGGCAGGCAGGCACTGGGCCTTATATTTCATGAATTCTAAATTTCAACAACTTTCATATAAAAAACTTTTACCACTGATGGCACTTTATAGCTTAAACTGTCAGCAATTTTTAATCTTTTGGTGTCTCATAAAGCTGTTATGTTTTAGTAGTTGGTATTTTATTCCATAAAACAGAGTACTATACACTCCATAAATGTGTACCCACATGGCGTTTGTGAACTGTCCTTAACTCCAGTTCCAGGGGAATCCGAAGTCCTCTTCTGATCTCCAAGGCATTGCATGACATAGGTGCACTCACACACATGCAGGTAATATAAAATAAATAAATTTTTTTTTTTTGGTCTTTTTGAGACAGGGTCTCCCTGTAGCCCCAGCTGTCCTGGAACTCACTATGTAGACCAGGCTGGCCTTGAACTCACAGAGATCCACCTGCCTCTGTCTCCCAAGTGCTGGGATTAAAGGCGTGCGCCACCACGCCTGGCCAATAATATTTTTTAAAAAAAATTAAAAGGGGGGCTGGAGAGATGGCTCAGAGGTTAAGAGCACTGACTGCTCTTGCAGAGGACCTGGGTTCAATTCCCAGCACCCACATGGCTACGAATCGTCCTTAACTTCAGTTCCAGGGGAATCTGAAACCCTCTTCTGATGTCCGTGGCATTGCATGACACGGGTGCACTCACATACATGCAGGCAATACACTTGTACACATGAAATAAAAATAATAAAATAATATTTAAAAAAATTAAAAGGGAAGTGAGTCTGGTAAACTGTCCTCTGACTTCTACACATACAAGTTCACGCAGTGGGTATACATACATACACACACACACAATATTAAAAGAAAAAAAACCCTCAAAAACTTAAGAGCATAATCTTACTTAGCTTGAAAATAAGTTAGACAATAGAAGAACCAAAACTCTAATAGGACAAAGTCTGTGTCATTACCAATTATTTACATGAAGACGATGTAAAAACATGTCATCAAACAAATTTTATTCTAGAGCATTCCTACTATTTATGCTAACCCACAAAAATGTCCAAAAAAAGTTAACCAAGGGACTGGAGAGATGGCTCAGCGTTTAAGAGCACTGGTTGCTCTTGCAGAGGACCAGGTTCAATTCCCAGCACCCACAGGGAGGCTAACAATAGTCTGTAACTCTAGTTCCAGGGAAATTTGACACCCTCATCTGACCTCTGCCAAAACTGCATAACACAGGTACACTTACATACATTATGCAAGGCAATACATACACTCCTCCACATAAAATTAACAACAAAAACAACAACAACAAAAGTTAACCAAATAAACTCATATACCATGAATCCAGCCAAAGAACTTAATCCACTAAAATTATTCCTGTAGCGTCTAAACAGGATTTGTGCCAGCTACCTCAGGGCTCTAGAGCAATGAAATTTAAGTAGAAAGCATTTAGTCCCATTAGACCAGTAATAATAAAAAAACAGAACATAGTTCTGGGCCGGGCATGGTGATACAAGCCTTTAGTCCCAGCACTAGGGAGGCAGAGGTGGGCGGATCTCTGTGAGTTCAAGGCCAGCCTGGTCTACACAGTGACCAGGATAGCGGGGGCTACAGGGAGACCCTGTCTCAAAAAGACCAAAAAAAAACACCGAAAAACAAAACAACAACAAAAAAACTAGAACACAGTTCTGCATCCTTTGTGAACTGTCTCAGAAATGCATGTCTAGAAATTTATAATGAGCCAGAATTGATGAAAAACTTGACAGCAAGCAATCAGAAAAAGAACTATTTTGAATGAAAGCTTTGTAATGTCTATAAAGCAAAACCACCTGTTGCAGTCTCATGTTTTGTTTTGGTAGACTGACCTTGTTTAACCAACCTTGGCAGCTCCATTCATATATATCACAAATACTGTTTTTGAACAAAATATAAGACAAACCTGTTTGTGTACATAATTAAATTTTGGAGGGGGGTATTTTTGAGACAGGGTCTCCCTGCAACCCCAGCTGGCCTGGAACTCAGAGATCTGCCTGCCTCTGCCTCCCAAGTGCTGGGACTAAAGGCATACACACTTTAATCCCAGCACTAGGAAGGCAGAGGCAGGTGGATCTTTGGGAGAACAAGGCCAACTTGGTCTACAGAGTAAGTTCTAAACCAGTTGGGGCTACAGGGAGATTCTGTCTCAAAAATAAATTAATTAATTAATAATAAACAAATAAATATTAAATGCAGGGGGCTGGCAAGATAGCTTAACATTAAGAATGCTTGATATAACCTGAGACAGTTCCCTGCAACCTGCCCTCTGACCACATGAGTACTGTGGCAAGCAAGTACACTCACACATGCACACCCCACCACCCACAGCCAAAGTAAATATACATATGCAAATAATGTACATTTTTTAAAAATTAAATGCAAGGCCGGGAGATGGCTCTGTGGATAAAGCACCTTCCAAGAGCATGACAACTGGAGTTTGGATTCCCAAGACTCATGTAAATACTGGGTGGGTATGGTAACCCATCTGTAATCCCAGCACAGTAAGCAGACAAGAGGCAAGCTAGCTATTGAGACCCTGCCTTGGTAAATAGAGAGCAATCAGGAGGACCCCTCTCTTATGCCAGTCTCTGGTCTTCACATGCACACCTGCACACGGGTTTGAACACACAACATGCATATACAACTTATGCAAATAAATAATATAAAGTAAAAATTCAAAGAAAAAAATTAACTGTGTTTTTTTGCTATTTTAAAATCATTTTGAAATAGTGGTCAAACATCTTGAATTACCTTGTAAAATGCCTGTTATTCATTTGTTTTTCTGTTCTTTCCATATTCTTATCAAAACTAGAATCTGAAGAAATCTGTGCATTTTTTCTCAATGATCTTAAGGACCGTGTCTGGTGGTAGATTTCAACTTCCTTAATTGATGATCCATCCTTTAAGAAAAATTAAGAATGTCATCATAATTTTTACTTTAGTTAAGATTTCAACTTTAAGTCCTAAGAGTTTCTTTGATTACAAGTTACAACAGTTTCTGTTGGCACAGGATGATTTGACATCTCCCCAAGAAACACATCAAAATAATGATTTCATGACAAACACCAGTAAGGGCTACGGAACAGCTGATATATGATTTACTGTCAGACATGGAGGTTCATGCCTGTAACCTCAGCACCTGGGAGGTGGAGGCAGTAGGATGAGAAGTTCAAGGTCATCCTAAATTACATACATGGAGTTTAAGAATTGCCTGGGCTACATGTACAAATAAATAAATAAATAGGGCCAGTGAGATATTTTAGCAGGTAAAGGAGCTTGTTGCCAAGTCTGACAACCTGAGTTCCAGTCCTAGGACTTACATGGTAAAGAGAACTGACTTGCAAGTTGTCCTCTGATTTCCCTGCATGTACACATACACAATAATAAAAAAAAGTAAATAAAACTTGTATATCGCAACTACCAACAGAATGAAAAGGCAACCCAGTGAATGGGAGAAATACATGTGCAATAGGATATCTAATACAAACAAACTAATATTCAACAACAAAAAAATATGAGTTGGGGGCTGGAGAGATGGCTCAGAGGTTAAGAATACTGACTGTTCTTGCAGAAGACCCAGGTTAGAATCCCAGCACCCACATGGCAGCTAACAACTGTCCGTAACTCCAGTTCCAGGGGATTCAACAGCCTCTTTTGTCCTCCTCAGGCATTGCATGACACAGGTGCACTTACTTACATGTAGGCATAATACTCATACACATAAAAAAAATAAACTAAGGACTGCAACAGATAAACAGGTATTTCTCCAAGGAAAATATACAGGTGACCAATAAATATATGAAAAGATTCTTAATACCATTTGTCGCTAAGCAAATATAAATCAAAGCCAGTGATCTACTATCTCATACTCATTAGAATCGACACTTACCAAAAAGAAAAATGAGAGAAAATGAGGGAAGGGGGAGGGTTGGAAAGAATGTAGAGAATGAAGGCAAAATTGGAACCTATATGTATTGCTGGTGAGAACATAAACAGTATGGTAGTTCCTCAATAAACCAAACACAGAATTACTATATGAGCCAGCTTTTAAAGGATATCACTTCTGAGTATATACCTGAAGAAAGCAGAAACTCGGATCCTTGTATACCCATGTTCATTATTCACAAAGCAAAGAAGTGGGATCAATTCAAGTGTCCACTAACAGAAGAGTAGATAAACACATGCAGTCAGGTTAGAGATGACTCAGTGGGTAAAGGCATTTGCCTCCAAGCCTGATGACCTGAGTTTGATTCCCTGGTCCCACTATGTCAAAAGGAAAAGAACTGGTTTCTGGAGGGTTGTTCTCTGACCTCCATATGCCCAATTCCATACTTAATGCAACAATAATTTGTAAAAATTTTCCAAAAATACAATGTGGTATATATACAATGAAATATTATTCTGCCTTTTAAAAGAATCCAAATTGCAACACATTATTGTATCAATAAACTTTGTCTGTTTTGAGACAGGGTCTCCCTGTAGCCCCAGCTGGCCTGGAACTTGCTATATTGACCAGGTTGGCTTCGGTCTCAGAGATCTGCCTGCCTGTGTCTTGAATGTTGAAACTACAGGTGTGCACCACCATGTCCAGCTTATATTAATAAACTTTGAAGACCACAAAAGAACAAGTCAAAGAAGGTCAAATATTATGATTCCTCTTATATCAGATTCCTAGAATCAAATATATAAAGTACAATAGTATTTGCCAGGAATTGGGATAAGGAAGACTAGGGAATTAATGTTTAATGTTTTGAAAAATGAAAAATTCTGGAGATGGATAGTGCTGAACATGAATTTCTTAATGTTATAGAACTGAACAGTTAAAACAGCAAATTTTGTTGCATGTACTTTACAGTAAGTAAATGTGACTATATTTCAGACTGGCTTTGAAAGGGAAAAAGAAAAACTATGTGTATTTGTGGGGAGCAATACTGAGAAAAGACTTAAGAAACTTAAGCTCCTTTTTTGGTTTTTTGAAAGAGTCTCACTATAGAGCCCTGGCCAACCTGGAACTCAAGCTAAACCAGATTGGTCTGTTATTCAGAGGTCCACCTGCCTAAACCTCCGGAGGCAGGGATTAAAGCTGTATGACAGCTTTAAAAACAAAACAAACCCCAACTTACTACTCCAGAAAATGGTTTAGGAGAAGCTTTGACTTGCATTATGAGTGGCCGAGTTCACTCTCTGTAAATAAATAGCAGGTAGCAAGGAAGACTCAACACTGGAAGGGAGGACAAAATGGGTTTTTTGAGCCTTCTAGATCGAAGTGCACACTACAGAATTTTAAAGTAATTTTCAAAAACATTTTTTTAGGGCTGGAAGCATAGCTTAGTCATAGAGCGCTTGCATGTGTGCAGGGCCCTGGGTTCAGTCCCCAATAAAACACAGGGGGCAGGGGGAGAGAGATCTCAACCTCCAGAGAGGAAGGAGGTAGGTAGTATCTAGGACTGACAATTTTTTACATTATTTACAGCAACTGTATAATCATGTATAAGGTACAAAAGGTCTGTGTCTTAGATTGCTTATCTGTAAATAGGATAGAAGCTATTTATGTGTCTATCAGTACCATGTTTAGTACAAAGCAACTGCCAAAATTAAATGATTAATTTTGATACTAAAATAGCTACTACTATTATAATCTTTGGTCATCCAAATTTGAATTTCCGGACTATAACCCTCCCTTATCTCATCAAATCCCTGTTCTAGCTCCTTAGTGCTTCCTAATGTTACAACTTCTGAACTCAAAACCAAAAACCCCTTCCAGCTCATACTCATATGCAGAGCTGCCATGTCACCCAACTTCAAGAAGCACCATTCACTGGTCCGTATCAAATTTCCCTGCTCATACCTGCCATAACCCATCAAGCTATATGCTTTTCATTTTTCTATGTTGTGTTTAGCTTCAGTTTTATTTATTTATTTATTTATTTATTTATTTATTTTTGGGGTTTTTGAAGCAAGGTCTCAAATAGCCCAAGCTGGCCTTTACCCTCATATGTAGCCGAGGATGACTTTGAACATCTTCTGGTCGCTACGTTAAAACTGTTAGAATTACAGGTGTATGTCACACATTAGTATTGACTATTTTTACAAATGCTTAAACAGTTTTTTAAAAATAGCGTATTTTGGGGCTGGGCGTGGTGGTGCGCGCCTTTAATCCCAGCACTCGGGAGGCAGAGGCAGGAGGATCTTTGTGAGTTCAAGGCCAGCATGGTCTACATAGTGAGTTCTAGGACAACTGGGGCTACAAGGAGACCCTGTCTCAAAGAGACAAAAATAAATAAATTAATTAATTAATTAATTAAAATATTTTATTTTATCACAGCGTAAATACACTGGGCCCGGTGGAAACAAGTCTGTAACCCCAGCTACTTGGAAGGTTGAAAAAGGTAGATAGCACATTCAAGGCTTGCCTGGGTTAGAGTGAGTTCAAGGCCAGCTTAGGCAACTTAGCAAAACACTGGCTCAAAAAGAAAGACATGAGACAGGGCCTGGTGGTGCAGTGCTTGCCTACTTCACCTAAAGTCCTACACAAGAGTACAGGTAAATACAGCCCAAAAGTAATGTGCAATCATTACTAAATAAATAAATAATCTCTTGCTGGTCTACTTATCCAACCTTAAGTGACTCTTTGGAATAAAAACATCCTTAAATTTACAGAAATCAAAGAGCTACACACCTATGAAAGTACAGAAATAAACAATGGGTAGTCTGACTCTAGAGGAAAAAGAAAACAGAAAAAGCACCCAAATCATAAAACTGGAGTTTTAAAAAATCCAAAGTTAAAACAGTATTTATCACGGGGCTGGAGAAATGGCTCAGTGGTTAGGAGCACTAACTGTTGCAGAAGACCTGGGTTCAGCTCCCAGCATCTCACACAGAGGCTCACAATCATCAGGCTTGTAACTTCCGTTCCAGGGGATCTTATGCCTTCTTCTAACCTCAGGGGCACTGCACACCCAGCTACACTCACATACATTACATTATTCAGTACACATCACATTCCAATTGTTAAAGTACAATGGTGCTAAGCATAACACTATAGGTACTTTCAGAATTTAAAGGTCAGTCTCCAATATTAAACAATGGAAAATTTCAATCAATGAATTAGAACAATTAAATGTAACAACCTACAAAAGTATCATCTCCTACCCAGAGATGTTCTGTTGATAAGTATGTGACTGGAGACTAGGAAACAGCCAAACAACAGGGTAATCAGGGAGTTAAGTCTCTAAAACACACACTTGATGTAAAGGAGAGCAAGGGACTGAATATGAAGTCTGAAGATTAGAAACCATTCTGACCACAAGGTAATTCATTCTTGGTATTGGTGGGGTTCTGGAAATAAGACTGTATCATCCTTAAAGACTACCAATTTCTTTGAATCCAATGCCATACTCACTAAGTAACTCTAATTAGAATTTGATTTACTTAAGAGCCTTGATTAATAGACAGGAGGAATACTTTATCTCAAAAAAAAAAAAAAAAAAAAGCTGGGCGTGGTAGCGCATGCCTGTAGTCCCAGCACATGGGAGGCAGAGGCAGGCGGATCTCTGTGAGTTCAAGGCCAGCCTGGTCTACATAGTGAATTCCAGGACAGCTGGGGCTACAGGGGAGACCCTGCTTCAAAAAGACAAAACAAAAAAAGTGTACTATAAACCCTAGCCTGGAAAAAAAATCCTCTCCATTCAACATCCTGATGTATGTACTTCAAGGGCTCCTGTATATGACATATGTGCAAGGTCTCTATATATGTAACATTCTGTTCTAGACACTGGGAATACAGTACTAACAAAACGTCAAAAACCCAAGTCTCTATGGAGTTATAGTCCTATCTGAGGAGAAACACAAAAAATTAGGAAATGATGGCTCAGCATTTAAGAGCACTGACTGTTCTTGCAGAAGACCCGGGTTCAAATCCCAGCACCCACATGGCAGCTAACAGCTGTCAGTAACTCCAGGGGATCCAACACCCTCTTCTAACCTCCACAAACGTTGCACAACACGGATGCACTTAACATGCATGCAGGCAATACACACATACACATACAATCAAAATAATAAATAGCAAATAAAAATAATATAGCAAAACGATATATATGCTAAAAGCCAGTAACTGCCAGAACAGAAGGCAGAGTAAGGATCGTTCAAAGGGGAGGAGTTTCTAATTCTAAGAAATAAATGTTTGCCCTACCGGGATCTCTGCCAATTCCTGCACCTGATTAGGAAACAAATCCTCCAAGCCAGGATCTTCAATTCAAAATCAACAATTTCAGAGATTAAAAAAGGAAAGAAAAATATGTAGTCTTTCAACCCATTCCACTCAAAAAAGTAAGCAACACGGGCACCTAGAAAAGACAGTAATTTTACGTAGTGACCTTAATACAAGACTGACACGGTCTGAACTAGAGTGGACACTGCTTAGCCACGCCTCCCCCACCTCTTCCGTTCGCCTCTAACTAGTCTAACCCTAACTTCATTTCTCCGGCCTAGGGGGTGAATGCTGTCCCCTCCACGGCAGTTCAAGTGTCCCTCAAAAAAAGCCACATCCGTTCTCCAGACCTCTAAGAAGCATTTCTTTCCAGAGGGCTCAATCCCTTGCAAACTTCCCGTAGACACTATTAACTGCCGCACGATGGGCCCTCAGGGGAAAGATCTGGAAAGGCAGAAAGCAAAATCGAAGTTCCAATTTTCGATCGCTTTCGGGGAGCCCGTTTCTGCATCTGCCCTATAGCTTACCATCACTACGCACTCTCAAAAGGCTTGTCACGAGCCTCGAAGGAAGTGAACACGAAATAAGGGTGCTCATCTCTACGCATTATGCAACCTGGGATCTCAACTCGCCGAGCTCTCATTTACGGGGCCCTCTCTGAAGTCTGAGTGACAGTGTGGCCCCGTGGCCCTTAAACTCTTCCGCTGGGTGCACCGAAGCAGTCAGCAAACCCAAGTGGCCCTCGGCCGACAGACGCGACCAGAGAGGCGGGAGCCCAGGAGCAGCGGGGAGGGCGGGCCGGGCTCGGCCTCACGCAGCACTTCAGCTCGGGCGGGCCTCAGGGTGGGGGAGGAAGGGACCAAGTGCTCAGCCCGCACGCAAACAGCTCCGTCCGTCCGTCCTCCCGACTTGCGCCCCGCCGGCTCGGGTCACCGGAACCCTTCCACTCCGCCGGTCCGCCCCCTCCCCCACCAGCGCGACGTGCGGGGCCCCCGAGGGCGCGCGCAGCCGCGGGCGGGCCAAACTTCCCACGCTGCCCCAGGCTCCACCAGCCCAGCCCGACACTCACGCTCGCCGCCGCAGAGGGAATGGTGGATTTCTCGGAGACCCGGGCCGAGCGGAGCCGCCTCCGGCTGCTCTGGTCCAGGCTGAGGAACTCGTTGGACAGGTCCAAGGAGTCCGTTGCTGAAGACGTGGCGGAGCGGTTATGCAGCTCTAAGCTGCTGCGGAGAATCACCATCTTGTCAGGCTGGAGGGAGCAGCGTCTTTACCGAGGCAGAGACACCAAGAGCCCAAGAGGCGCCCGCGCTGCAGCTTCCCCGCTCTGAATTCTGGCGCCACAAGCAACGCGCCAGAGCCCTCAGCGCGCGCTCCTGGAATCCCTCCGCTTCCGGCCACGCCCACTAGCCTCAGTCCACGCCCACTCACAGCCCCAGACCCATAAAGCGGCAACTCTGCGCGCCACCGAAGAGCGCGGGAGGACATGCTGGGGAGAATCAAACTCTAGGTTACAGTGGAGGATCTGAGAGGAGCCTGCGGGGGAGAATTCCGACTCAGTTCTTCCTGTTATAGTCCCGGCTCACTGCCCTCGGCGGAGGGAGACGGCGGCAGTGGTGCGGCTTTCTGTTTGGAATTTTGGCGCGTGGAGGCGGAGGGGGCGGGGGAGGGAGGCTCTGCGCGCTCTGATTGGCTGGCGTCTCCTCCCCTCCCCTTCGGCCACCTGCCTACTGCTTCCCGCCATCTGGGATTCAAATGCAAAGACTGAGACGCCTTTGACAACTTTGACAGATCTGATTTTGAGCCCGAAGAGCTTTTAACTGATAAATTAACCAAAATTAATTAACTACCCAAAAGAAAGAAAACTAAGTGACCTTCAAGAGAGCGGTTAAGAGCCCACAGTGGTTCAGTACGCAGAAGTCTGTCACATCCTCCTCCCTGGGTAGAGCAAATTATTCACTTGTCTGTGTCCTGATTTCCTTACCTGCAAAATAATAACAAATATTTGTAATATAGTTGTACCTTATTGCTATGCCTGCACATACCAATGCTCAGTGTTATCATAGGGTGACAGAAAACGGCTTCTCTATAATGAGAGCAGGTAGAAGGTACGCAGGATCAGGCTTGGTCAGCAATTGTACGCAAAAAGAAATGAGAATACTGGTTCATACTTTGGGGTAGAAGAACATGAAAGGGTTTGAACTGGATTCTAGTTTCGTATACCCTTACCCATTTTTCTTTGTTCATAATACATCTCAAAAAAGTTGGCAAAAACAAGCCTTTGAGCCCAGCACCCGGGAAGCCGAGACGGGTGAATCTCTCTGTGAGATCAAGGCCAGCCTAGTCTACATAGCAAGTTCCAGGACAGCTGGGGTACAAGGAGAACCTGTCTCAAACAAACAGACAAAAAGTTGAAGGAAAAAAAAAAACAAAAAAACGACTTTCAGACAACTACTCCAGAGGCTGAGGCAGGGAGGTTGCAAGTTCAAGACCTCAGGGCAACTGAGTGAGATCTTGTCTCTAAAGTAAGGAGGCAGTGGGAGGTGGCCTCACCTTTAATCCCAACACTCTGGAGGTAGAGGCAGGCACATCTGGGTCCAAGGGCAGTCTGGTCTACATATCAAGTTCCAGGCCAGTCAGAGCTGCATAGTGAAACTCTGTCTTAGCAAACAAACATACAAATTTCTACCTAAAAGACATAAACATGTATGTGATTTCTGTAAGAGATTACCAAAATCATCTTCCACAGAATTAAGAGCAGTATTTTGATTCTTAAATAGAAAATTTGTAACACCAAGAGACAGATGTAGTCAAGAGTTTCACTTTTCCTTTATTGTCTCCCAACAATATTAAACAATGAGAATTACTACACTAAGGACTGGAGAGATGGCTCAGTGGTTAAGAGCACTGACTGCTCTTGCAGAGGACTCAAGTTTGATTCCCAGCACCCACATAGCAGCTAACAAATGTCCATAACTCCAGTTCTAGGAAATCCAGTGCTCTCTTCTGACCTCCATGGGCATTGCTCAACATGGGTGTGCTTGCATACATGTCGACAATACACTCATACACATAAAAATAAAGAATTACTACAGCAAATTTTCAAAAAAAAATTTTTAATTTATGGGTAGGTGTGATGGCAGGCATGTCTTTAATCCCAGCACTCAAGAAGCAGAAGCAGGCAGATCTCTGTGAGTTTGGGGACAGTCTAGTCTACATAGTGAGTTCCAGGCCAGTCAGGGTTACATAATGAAACCCTGTCTCAAAATTAATAATAATAAAATTTTAAATTAACTATATATATAAAAAAAGGATTACTACACTGACTGTCTTTTATTTGATATAGTGGATTGAACTGTATCCCCCCAAACATATATCAGAGCCCTAAACACCATATCTGTGGATGTAATCTGATTTGGAAAAAGTGTCTTTGCAAATGTAATTACCACTTAAGATGACATCATCTCAGTTTATTTAGAAAGGGCCCCAAATCCAATTATTCCTGTTCATAGGAGTAAAGAGAGGGATTTAGCACATAGAGATTTGCAGAGAAGGCAGGATGTGTAGATGGAGGCAGAGAGCAGAGTGATGTGTCCACAAGTCAGGACACACCACTAAGGCCAAAAACTTTAATTGCTCACAGGTATACCTAGAAGCCCATTTTCCAGGCAACTCTAGATCCTGTCAAGTTGACAATACTAACCATCACAGCAGCCCTGGGACAAAAACATGTTTGTTCTGGAGCTGCTTTTTCTAGTCCTACATTTGAGATGGAAGTAATTTAGGACAAAAAGAGGAAGTAGAATGAAGTTCTTGTTCACAACCCCTGACTGCTCCCAAAAGGTCTATATTTTCTCACTTTGTGTGTGATAGAAACAAGGCTGAGCTAAGATCCGATCATAATATCATTACCTCACCTGGGATGAGGTCATAGGTGTGTCCCTTTCTATTCTTGGTAGCAAAGATAGTAAGTAAATATCAATTTGAACAGGGATTTCTTTCAGGAATGTAACTGTCTCATTGATTTCCCACAAGAGAAAAGTCCATTAATCACATGGAGGTGGGGAAGGTCATGGTTTTCATTGGCCTTTTTCTAGCCAATCTGCATTTACTTTATTATTTCTTTTCACAATGCCAAGGATCAAACCCAGGACCTAGTGCATGGTAGGTGCCCTACCACTGAGCTACATTTGAAGACCCAGCCACCTATTCTGCATTTAAAGACACCCCTCCTATTTGGGAGGTTTTCTTTTCAGGTGGATTTGAGTTGGGTAAGGCCCAGCTATAGAAATCCTATTTCTCTAGAAATCTGACAAGCAGGGTTTGGACATGTGACCTTAGTCCAGCCCTCTGGGGCTTTTGAAGGAGTGACCCAAAGATGTAGGGGCAGGGATTGCAGAGGATGACATCTTAACTAGCTTATCCTTTGATGGTAGGAGTGTGGCATGGAGGTGCTTCTTCCTCTCTATGCTGCACCTAACTTTCCCACTCTCCATTTTCATTGAACATTTTTCCTGTTGAAGGTAACCAAAAATGCTTCCTACAGTTTTCAGGCAAGAACACTTGTTGGTATTGAGGCTGTAGACTGAAAAGGAGAGATTCACCAGCTGTTTCTTAGAATGAACACTAACCAACCAAGTTAATGTTGACAGGGCATGGGAGCTAGACACCTCTTTGGGGGAGTTCACAGAGAGGGAGAGAAAGAAAGTGAGAAGGGAAGATAAATTCTTTTGTGGTTTCTCAGTACCCACCACCCCACTGGTGCTGTGGACCAAAGTCAGGGCCTCAGCCATGCACTCCTAGGCAAAACACTTAATTGCTGAGCTACATCCCCAGCCCAGCCTTCTTTCTCTTTGTGAAAAAGAAATTTTATTTTATGTGCATGAATGTTTTGATTGTATGGATGCATGTGCACCATGTGCATGCCTGGTGTCCACAGAGGCCATAAGAGGGTATTGAATCCTCTGGAACTTGAGTTACAGATGCTTGTGTGTCACCACATGGGTGCTAAGAATTGAACCCAGATCCTCTGCAAGAGACATGTGCTCTTAACCAATGAGCCATCTCTCCAACTCCATGTATTGTGTCCCAAACCCACCAAATTTGCATTCCCAGTAGTGGAGTGTCCCCACTCCACTTCCGTATCACAATACTACCTTAGGACCTACTGCTTTGTATAGAGCTTAAGTCTTTAGCATGAGAAAGTAGTAATGAAATAAATGTAAGCCTAAATAATAATGGGAATTTCAGAGTTTTTGGTAATTCTGTTTTCTTTTGTCCAATTTTTGTTGTTACTGTTGTCTGTTTCTTTTTTGACAGGGTCTCAAGTATCTCAGGCTGGCTTCAAAACTCCTTATGTAGCTTAGGGATGACCTTGAACTTTTGATACTCCTGCCTGCATTTCCTGAGTGCTGGGACTACTGGCATGTGCTGTTTCTCCTGGTTTATGCCTTGCTGGCCTTCTTTAATGCTGGACAAGGACCCGACCAACTGAAACCTTGTCCCAGCCCTAGATTTTTGTTTTTTATTTATTTATTTATTTATTATTTATTTTTGGTTTTTTGAGACAAAAGTCTTCCTGTAGTACCAGTTAGACCTGGAACTTTCTGTGTAGACCAGGCTGGCCTCCATCTCACAAAGATCCACCTGCCTCTGTCTCCAGAGAACCACCTATGGCTGTTTTAGTTTAGTTTTTTTTTTTTTTATCTTGCAATGCCCACAGAGGACAGAAGAGGCTGTCGGATCTCCTGGGACTGGAGTTACAGACAGTTGTTAGCTGCCATGTGGGTGCTGGGATTTGAACCTGGGTCTTCTGCAAGAACAACCAGTGTTCTTAACTTTTGAGCCATCTCTCCATCCCACATGTTTTAGTTTTTAAATAAAATCTTCAGTGCAGAATTGAGGGATGACCCAATCTATTCTTTTCTTTTCTTTTCTTTTCTTGTTTTTTGTTGACGTTGTTTGGTTGGTTATTGGGACAAAGTCTCACACTGTAGCCCACTCTGGTCTTGAACTTCTATGTAACCCAGGATGGCCTCAAACTTGAACTGATCCTCTTTCTTCTACCTCCTAAGTACAGGGATTACAGGTGGGCACCATCATGCTCAGCTGGATGGGTACCTATTTATTTATTTGTTTATTTATTTTAGATTTTTGAGGCAAAGTCTTTATGTTGGATGGACCAGTTTCTATAAAACAACATAGCATGTACAAGACCTGCAGAAGATCAAACCAACCAAAATCCCAGCATGGATGGGGGAGGGGCTCATGGAGTCCCAGCTGTACAAGGAGCTTTTGGCAATTGATGGTTGCTAGGGAAAGAGAGTTTTCTTCAGGGATGTGTCCTCTGATAGGCTACCCATGCTCC